TCACCCTAATTTCTTAAAGACAACTGACTAATTAAAATTTTTATTAAATTATGACACTTTTAATTACCACGAGCAGTTATTAATTCGCTGTTTGACAACACAAGTCGGGCGTTTTTTTTTTGTCAGTCAGCCCATATCTAAGGAATGGGTAAGACCAAGTTTTCAATTACGATTTGGGTTAATTTGATCTCGGCCCATTTTATTTTATAGTCCTTATACGGTATTGAAATTAATTATTAGAATCTTGCATGTTTTTTTTCAAGATTTTGGTCTCGACGAATAGTTAATAATTTTTACGTTTAATTTAAAATTCAAATCTTACATAATATACATTCTTACAGATTTATAAAGATGTCCCAAAAAGTAAAGATGTCTACGGTAAACATAGTGTAAGAAACAACCGTCCAATATAATGTCTGTTGTGAAGTAATTCATGAAACTGTTCGTTGTGTGATGTAGCAGCCTCTTGTTAACGTTAAGCAACCAAAGATGTTTGAAGACCAGACTTTGTTTTTTTTTATCCTATTTTTGTTCTTTCCTATTTATTTGAGGAACTCGTTTGTTCCCAAGTCCTATATACATGTTCTAGGCAATTATTTTTTGATATTCGGTTTTTATTAATAAAGTTAAGAGATTTAAAAAAAAAAAAAAATTTGTGTGTGAATTCTTGCTCTCACGAGATATATCGACAAGCTAACTAGGAATCACACGGCTTCGTAGTTTTTTTGTCTTCTACGCTTTCTAGTTGCGACATCATATTGTGTTTGATGTATTTCGAAATGCTACAAATATTTAGATTTGTTTGTCGTAAGTGTAAATCATCATTTATAATAAATTAAAAATATAATTTTTGAATGATGTAATAAACTATAAAACAATTTTTTTTTGTAGAAATTAAATATTCTTTATAATTTTTTTTTGTTTAATTTCGATTTGAAAATATGAAATCAATCATTTTAGTTGTTAAATTGATATGATAACCCCCAAAAAAAAAAACAAGCTTTCAAGAAATTTTTGTAATTGATTTCTTTTTAGAACAAATGTGTTTATCAAAATTTAAAACTTTTAAAGATGTCAACATTTTTATTAATATCTACAAAATCCAGTGGTCGATCTATATCCAATATTTATTATATGTTTATTTTGTCGCGGTTTCTAATAGTATTTGTTCATTCTCGTGATTCGGTGATGTTCTTAGCATATACGGCGACCTGTGAAAGAAAAACACACACATACTAAAGAGATGAAAAAAAAAGTTAAAAAGAAAATTCGAGAAGAACATTCACATTCTTTAAGTTTATTAGTTTTTTTTTGTCCTTATCAAAGAATGATTATAATTTATGTATACAAGAAGAAGACAGAAGTAAGATTTGGGTATATATGGTTCATTTGTGTGGACATCCTTAGTGTCTCGTGAATCGACAGAGACTCTCCAACTGTATTCACTTCCCTATTCTCATTCCCATATGCCTTCACTTTCAAAATTTTCATTTCTTGCTTCCTCTGTTAAAGAATCAAAAGTTATCAACTTTAGTCTCATTGGGTATACGTTTCTACAAGTCTAAAACTAATAGTTTTATGTTATATACGTTTCTACAAGTCTAAAACTAATAGTTTTATGTTATATATAAAAAATTAGATGTATACAACTAATAAAATCATCTGTGAGATATATATAATACTCTTCTGATGGTTATTAGATATGAGGTTCTACTCTAAGAGTAACTTTTTTTTAGTAGATTATATTTGTAAGTATGCATAAGTTTTTCAGAATTTCGAGTTGCAAACGTAGCATCGTAATCATACAATATCTAGCTAGTTTGAATTACAGATTCGAAATAGTTGATACCATTAGCAAAATATCAAAATCAACAAAGCACATGATATCTACACTCATTATATATTTTTGTAAAACCACAACAATTTCATTTATATGATATTTACATTCTTAACCAAAAAAGTAGGACAAAGCACATGTGTTATATACGTTTGAGAGCATTTCGAAGACATATGTGTACTAAGTTACTAACGTCATTTTTACCAAAACAAAAAAAAGTTACTAACGTCATCGTTATAACATTTGTTTCTATAATCTTTTAGTTAAACACCAATAACAATTTTTTTGAGAAGTTATAGTTTCGATAATAATAATTTAAAATGTGTTTTTCTTTGAAAATAGAGATGTGGACAATACATAAACATGAAACATGACACAATGATTCACAATTTGGAAATGAGAAATCATGTCATGTTTTAGTCTCATTCAAATATATAGGATGTAATTAAAATATG